GAACGATGTCTTGCTATGGGAATGAGAAAAGATTTAATTTTAAATCAAGAAGAAATACAACGAAGAAAAGATTCTGGAAGAAATCGAAGTACTTCTTCAAAACATTCATCAACAATAGAATTGACAAATTCTATACCTAATTTCGAATCTGTTTTACGAACATTTGATGAAAGTGATCATGTAAGTTCTTTCAACAGCAAATGCAGATTTTTTTTCTTTAATTTTTTAAATACTTATCAATATAATTTGATGTTCTATTTTAGTTATTCATGGATATGAATCAAGATAATGATAATATTATTGTTCATAAGAGCACCGATTTAAAAGAGAGACGGAAAATATATTGTTCCAAGCATTGACTGTCGAAGATTTGGAAACTATTAACAGCGTTCAATCATCATTTTTATCTATTGTCAATGAATGTGAAGAAATTACTAATATTGCTGATCCATCCGATCATACTTCTGAATTAATCTGTTGTTTACAATCTAACAATAAGATTGCTCTTCATATTATTAAATTTTGTCGTCTAATTGATAAATTCGAAAATATAAATATTGATGATCGTTGTATTTTGATTAAATATAATCTTATTCTTCTCTTTTGTATCTCGACATGCTACATATCCAAACAAACAAATGATTATTCTTTGGAAGAGAACAAGAAAAAGCAGAAGAAAAACGCCAAATGTATATATTATGTAATCAATCAGATTATATATATGAAATGGTTATAAATTTGAGTGTTACTTTAAATGATATTATTGAAGAAGATGACATATTATTATCTCTTCTTATCGTTGTTTTCTTATTCTCTAAAGGTTTATCAATGAATGAAAATGAACTACCACTTAAAGATTCATTAACTGTATATCAAGCTCAATCTTATTATACAAAATTATTATGGAATTATATGATCAAAAAACAAGGTGAAACAAAAACATACAAACATTTTACCAAATTACTAACAGCTATCTTTAAAGCTCAGTCAACGGCTTTGAGATTTCGAGAATTTATCAGTAGTCAAGCGACGACATTAGATGGTGTGGAGGATATTGCACCACTTATGCAAACTGTTCTACATATTTCATAATTTTATTCTGTATTTATATATTTTTATTGAACAAATGAGCTCTTGTGTACAAATTTTATTAGACTGTAGTAACTTTCTTAATGTAATATTAAAATAAAACTTGTTTTAAAAGTTAAAATTCGAAATTGATTTTTCTATATCATTCCATTTAGTTTATCAAGAAAAAAGCGAGATTTTAATTCTTTTCTAGACAAAAAAAAATTATGATTATATTCCATTTGTATTTTTTCAAAAAGTAGAAAAATCATGATTCGATGTACGACAACTTACAACTCTTTCGTATGAACTGGTTACTGAATACTTCATTATGTCTTATCCATAGGCTTCGCAGCGATCACTCGCGAAGATATAGGGTTTCGATAAAAATATAAGAAAGATACAGAACAGCCTCTTGTTCCAAAGAAACACTTTGAAGGATTTGAGAATCATTAAAAGAATGTATAAAATCATGCATCATTTACGTATTAGATTATCAGAGAAATTCCAATGAAATGCAAATTTAAACTACTCAAAAAAAAATAACAATTTTTTTATTCAGAGGGTTGAAATTGAGTGTTAGCTTCTATTCGGTTTAGTGATAGGTCTTATTAAACGTGTACGAAAACAGTTATAAAACAAACAAGATACGAAACTCAATAACAACGAAAAATAGTTGATAATTAGTTTCTCTTAGACTTAGATTATCTGTTTTTTTACCATTATCATGCTATGCACATTAGAACTTTATCGTTTACAAATATGTAAATATGAATAATAATGATAGAGGAAGACATCTCTTCCAAGAGACTGAGATCACGTTACATTACCTGTAGTATATTCTGTCCATTTTATCGTTGCTCAAGAAATTGTTTTTATTTCCTTATCAATTTAAATTAAATAATGTTCTAACAAAATCAGGTCTCCGTATTTTGATGTGGAGTACATTCAACTTTGTTGCTAAACTTTGACAAATCCTTCTTAATACACGACAATATCACAATTATAAAATTGAAAAAACTCTCACCATTTTGGTTATATCTCGGAAAAAAACTAAACGTTAAATTCTTTTTTTATATGTAATAGTCCAGCGAATGAAACTACTTGCTAAACTCGAATACTATTTTATAACCTTTAAATCTTGAAATATGACACTTGTATTTAGACGAATATATTTTTACTTTTTATTTTTGAAACGATCGTTATGCGAAGAAATGACTTGGTACGCATACATTCAGAAAAAGATGCATTAAACCTAACAGTAATAATTAATATCACAATAGTATAGAAAATTCAAGATAAATTCCTCAATAAATTAGTCATCTTCGTAAAAAGTTTGCAAAAAAAATGAATAGATTGTAACAATAAATATGGAAACGAACACAAGGTATTGATATATTTCCAATAGCTTTTTTTCTTTTCTTGACAAAAAGTAAGCAATTCCCAAAAAAATATTCACTTTTTACCAGATAAAGGAAAAATCGTCGAAAAATAGGACATTATAGGACGATTGCGAAGTCTGACTATCCAACAAATTTCTGAGATCTATAGTTCAAATCTGAAAAGGTTGAAACCAGCTAAAATAATTGTACGAGCTCTCGTACACTATAATATGTATTAGGATATTAGTTTGATAAATGTTAATGTAATATGTTGTTTAGTTCTTCTTTGGAGCTGAGTCATTAAATAGATGAGCGGATGCAAATTCAGGATAACGTTCACCTACTACATCGGCCTTTTCACAAGCTTCTCGAATTTCTTGTATTTCTTCTTTGCTTAACTTGATCTGAACAGCTTCAACATTTTCTTCTAAGTTTTTAATTTTGCTTGTACCTGGTATTACAATGAAGTCATTCCCTTGAGCAAGAATCCATGCTAATGTTAATTGAGCTGGTGTACAACCTTTTTTCTTCGCTATTGCCACCAATTCATCAACCAATTTAAGATTTTTTGGAAAATTTTCTTTAGAAAAACGTGGAATTAATCTTCGGAAATCATCTGCTTCAAAATCATCTGGACTTCTAATTT